ACAGTAAAGAGGTGGGAATGACTTTTCACCCTTCCCAGGGCCCATCACACACCGCTCTGGGGTCAGAGCATGGGGCCACCTGTGCTGCAGGAGTTCGGAGTCCAGGCTCCCAGCATGAGGTGAGGAAGTCACCTGGGGGTGGAAGCTGCAGCAAAGGCAGGTGCCTGGATGTCCGACCCAAAGCTGGTGCAGTGACACTGGGCAGCCAGGGCAGCACGAGCACCAGGAAGCACAGCGGGCCTGTGGGGTGGAGATGGGGTGGTGGGAGGCTGGGGGTCCGAGACCACGTCAGAGATAAGAGAAAAGCAGAGGATGGAATCTGCTCAGAGCTCCTGGGGGAGCTTCACCTGCCTGCTGTTACCCCATCTACAGATGAGGGAACCGAGGCCCAGAAAGGTTTAGAAGCATATTTGATGCCACCAAGCAGGAAGGTGAGGCTGGGACTTCATTACAGGGGCCCTTGGCCACAGTGACAGAGACAGAGAAACTCAGGGACTGGCACAGACAAGGAGAGGGTAGGGCAGGTGGAGCAGGTGGCAGGAGCTGGTCTTTGGACATTGGGCTCTTTTCAGCTTCCTCTGGCGGTGACCCCAGGCAGAATGGTGGACATCAGTGACGTGGGTTTGACAAGGGTTAGTGGGGCCTGCATCTTCTCCTCAGCCAGAAACTAAAGAGACAGACCCAGAGAGAGGGGGCAGAAGAGGTCTTGGTGTCCTCGGGCTGTGGGGCTGGGCCTTGCCAGTTCCTCTGAATTGCAAATGGTCTGTCACTGTCCAGCATGGGGAAACCCACTCCATAGGCTGACATAGGACAGGGTCTGTGGGTGTCTGTCTGTCTCTCTTTCTCTCAAAACAGTCCCCCACCCTTCCAGATGGCACAACAGTCACAAAGTCACCTCACCTTCACACCCATACACAGCCCTATGGCTATCAAGCACTGTGGCTATTGCTACTAGCACCACTCATGCCTATTTTACAGGGGCGGGGGCGGGACTGAGGCTGGGAAATAAGTGCACTTTTGAGGGCTGACTGTTGGGAAGACAGAGTGCTTCCTGAATCTAAGTTCTATCTAGCGTCACAGTGCCAGGGACCCTGTAGGTCACTCTCCAGAGAGAAGCACTGGGAGGGAGCGAGGCAAGCTGCACAGGGCCATCCATGACAAGGGACAGCAGGTGCTGGGACGGAGGGAGAGGGGCCCGTGTGGAGAGGGGCACGTACTGACATGCTCTGTTCAGGGCAGTGTGAAGGCCAGGCAGCGGGGACCAGAAAGTCCGTTTAATCTCTGATCCCTGAGATTCGTGGTGAAGAGACCCGAGTGCCAGGGAGACTAGGCAGGGAGCCAGGCTTTGGGGCCAGTGGACTTTCACCACAGTGCTCCACCTGGGAGTCCTGCAGGGTTGGTTCTAGACCTGGTGCCCTTACTTACAAGCAAAGAGATTTTATTTTCACTTGCCTAACCTCAGTTTCCCCATCTGAAAAGCAGGGCTGTCTGTTCTCTGTACCCCTCCTAGGGCTTTTGCAAAGACCCAGAAGGTAGAGGATAGCTCTAAAAGTGCCGGGCATGACAGTCACTGTCATGGCACTCTCAGGCTTGGGTACTGGGACTCACCCCGTTTGAACCAGCAATTTGTGTGCAGGGACACAGGTCACAAGGGGCTCAGGACCAGCCCTTAGTGAGCCACAAGGCAGGTGGCAGTAGGACACCGGACAGCACAGGTTCTGCCAGTCCTGGTGCAGTGTGGGGAGTGGTCAGGATGCAGAGGGAAACTGAGCTGGGAGTCTGCGAGGCAAAGGCTGCCCTGAGGAGGTGCTGCTCTTGGGTGGGACCAGGGACCCCCACCTCACCCTTTTCCAGGCTATGAGACTGGGGCAACTGGCTCCCTCCCCCAGCTCAGCTGCCCTGTCTGAAGAGGCCAGAAGAGGGACTGCAAAGTGGCCTGCAGGGGTAGATGCTCCTGGTCATGGTGGAGAGGAACAGCGAGAAGGTGTGGCTGGCAGGGAGCCCACAAAGGCCCAGGCAGAGGGGAGAATAGTGCACAGGTGTGCCAGGCAGGCGTGCAGCAGGCAGGTGCAGGAGGGCCAGGGCTGAAGGAATGGGGAGCCAGATGGGGCTCCTGAAAGGCGAGGAAAGAAACAAAAGGATAATCAGGGTTGCACCATTTACTCAGCCCCCACCTCATGCTCAGCCTGTGCTGAGTACCTGGGCAATCCTAACTCCAGGGGACAGGTGACTGCCCGGAACCTCACGGAAAACGGGCGGTATGGAACCCAAGGTCTGCCACGCACGAAGTGCATGATAACTGGAAACAGTTGGTGATGGTGGGGCAGGTCTGTGTGACCCCCGACTCTGAAGCTCTGGTGTACTTCAAACCGCTGAGTAGCTGGATATGTTAACAGAAGTATTAATACGGGTATTAGTAGCAGCTAAATAAATGTCCATATTACAATTACTGGTGCCAGACTGTGTTCAAAGTGCTTCATATATAATAACAAACTTAATTCTCCTAACAACCTATGAGATAGGACAATTATTTCCCTCATTTTACAGATGAAAAACTGAGGCTCAGGGAGGTTAAGCCACTGGCTCGAGGGAAACCAGGATTAGAATCCAATGCTTCAACCCATAGGTACTGCCCATGGGATTCACCCACAGCCAGAGGTTTGCCTCCATGTTGGTGTTCAAGAACCTGGTTTTTATTTTTTATTTTATTTTATGCTTTTTTTTGGTGCCAGGGATCGAACTCAGGTCCTTGCGCTTGCAAGGCAGGCGACGGAACCGCTGAGCTAAATCCCCGGCCCAGGAACCTGGTTTTTCAAAGCCCCTCCAACCACTCAGGGGCTCTACAGGGTGTCTCTCCTGAGAAACCTGCCAGCAGGGGTCACCGCCACCTCCAGGGTCCAGCAGAGCAGTGGGGCAGTGGGGAGCGACGCCAGGGTGCACAGACCCGGAGAGGTTGGCCGCCCATGGATTAAGGAGAGGACCGTGGGGGCGCCTTCAACAGTGGGCAGCTCAACAGGCCCTGCCCCTCTGTCTCACCCCACCATCTCTGAGGGCCTAAGGGGACAGATGGCATCATCCAGGCCGGCACCGTGGCTGTCACTCAGCCAGATGAGTCTCTAGCAGGCCAAAGAGGTGGTAGGTGGGATGCGCACAAACAATAGAATGGCGACTTCAGGACAATGGAGGCCACGTGCCACTGGGGCAACAGTCGTTTGTCGTACAATGGGCCTCTGGGGGATAGCAGCCAGGCCAACTGCTGCCATAACACACACGGGCCAGCCGTGTTTTCAAATCATCTCCAGGCTGTGTTTTCCTATGAGGCAGCCAATGGCGGAGACAGCCAGGGAGTCACCTGATGCCAGCTGCATGGGCCCTGGGCCCTGTGACAACTGAGCAGCAGTGGCCATGGCAACACTAATTGTGGCCCTAAAACACAAGGGGTGGGGAGGGAGAGAATGAATGGAGGGGTGGGAGGAGGGAGGAGAGAGGGGACAGACAGAGAGACTGGGGGCTGGAGGCAGCCAAGCAGAGGAAGGACAGGGCCACAGCTCCCTGTACCTGCTGTCAGACACACAGGGAAAGCAGATGCTACGTGGACACCCTGTTCTCTCTTTCTTGCCCCTTCCACTCTCTATGGGGCCCTAACATACCTGGTTTGGGGAGCTTGGAATTTGGACTAGGGACCTCTTGCAGCAACACCACCTGACCATGAGGGTGGCACATTCAGTGGTACTGGTGAGGGCCCTTGGCCCAGTTGGCAGCTGTGTTACAACCCAGACCGGACACCATCGTGAGGCCTGGTGCTCTCCAGTGCTGGCACACGTCACTTCAGGAAAACCAGGAGAGCCCAAATTGGGTAGCTGTGTGGTTCCCGAGATGGTAGCCTCCCTGCTTTCGTGGCTAGCAATGCTCTGGCATTGCTCATGCATCTGCTGAAGTGGTAGGCATGGGTCCTACCTGGGGAGAGCTCTGGCTCCAGGATGCGCTCTCTGTTTCTTGCCCCTCCACTTCCTGTACTGTGTGGCCTGGAGCAAGTGAGAGGGATATGGACATATTGCAGGTCCCAGGGTGACTGCAGAACTGCACAGGACCGAACCACGAGCTGGCCCTCAGCTCTCTCTCCGTGTGGCCCACATGCCACGCGCACTATCACCACATTCCACGCCATCCACACAGGCTGAAGCACGGCAGGAAAACACTCCGGACCTGGAGGAGGGCAACCTGGGTACCGTGGTGGCCCCAATTCTGCCAGGGGAGCTGGGAAGGACCCTGTGCCCAGACCCACACTGCTCTGTGCCATGGTGTCCCCAGGAAGTCCTATAGCGCGTGTCCTCCCTCTGGAAAATGGGAACAGGGTGAGGATCCCTTATCCAACATATGTGGGACCAGAAGTATTTCAGATAATAGATTGTGTCACATTTTGCAATATCTGCACCTACAAAATGAGATGTCTTACAGAGGGGACCTAGATCTAAACACAAAGTTCGTTTACACTTCATATGCATGTTACATTACGCACATAGCCTAAAAGCAACTTTGTGCTTTCTGTGTGCCTGCGTTTTGACTGTGACTCCTTATGTGAGACCATGGTGGAGCCAGAAGGTTAGAATTCTGGAGCATTTTATATTTCGGAGTTTGTAACAGGGAATCCTCGCTCTATAACTAATCTGTAATAACAGTAATACCCGCCTCATAGGGCAGCTGGGAGTGTTAAATGGGGCTGTACTGTGAAGGACGTGACCAGTGGTCAGGCAATGTCAGTGTTTATGGCTGTGGCAGGAGACGCTAAGTAGGATGTGGGTGAATGAATGAAGGATTTGAGGATGTGCCATCTGGCTCCCAAAGAGGGCCCTTGGGGCTGGTTTCCCTCACCTAGTCCTGAGAAGGGCGAGAGAGCTTGGGGTGGTGAGAGGCCAAAGGGCACGTCCAGAAATCCAGGAGGCCCCAAGGAGCTGCCCGAAGCTCCCCCTCCCGCCCGAGCTCCCTACTCCTCCCTGCAGGCTCCTGCCTTCCACCAGTGATGATGACCTCCCCGGGGACCTGCAGTCGCTGTCGTGGCTCACAGCTGTGGACGTGCCTCGGCTGCAGCAGATGGCCAGTGGCCGCATGAACCCTGGAAGCTGTGGCATGCCACGTCCACACCCAGGTAGGCTCACATGGGGCAGGTTGGGGAAGGGAGGGGTGATGCTAGCTGTGGACAGACAGGTCCTTCTGTCTCTGGGGCTCTGTTTCCACATCGGTAAAATGAGACTAAACTGACTTCCACGGAGGGCAGTCAGCAAAGAGGGCCCAAGTCAAATGCAGCCCAGCCTGTACTGCGGGGCCGAGAATGGTTTTTAAACCAGGTGTGACAGTGCATGGCTGTAATCCCTGCACTCTGTGAGACTGAGGCTGGAGGACTGTAAATAGGAACCCAATCTGGGAAATGTAGCAGTTTAGCAAGACCCTGTCTTAAAAAAATAAAAGGACTGGAGATGTACTCAGTGCAAAGGCCCTCTGTTCAATCCCCAGTACCAGAAAAAAACAAAAACAAAAACAAAACAAAACAAAAAAGTTCAATGCCCCTTTTGCTGGAAGACCGTAAGAATCCTAGGTAACACATGACAGCTAGTTGTAATCATAGCAAGTGGGTTAAATGCTTAAAGATACAAGATGTTGAAGAAAACCAAACAGTGACAGAAAGTACAATCACTACAGTATATTATAAGTAGCAAATATGAAATAGTTCTCTCATTGGGCAAGATGTTCTTGAGCAGAACATGTAAAGCAAGGGTCAGCCAGCAAACTTTTCCTGCAAAGGGCCAGGAAATACATATTTTGGTTTCTGTAGGTCAGTCTGTCAAAATTGCTCAGCTCTGCTGTTTCAGCACAAAACAAGCCAGAGAAAAATTTAAATGAGTATGTGTGGCTGTATACTAATACTAATTCGGCCTGCTGGTCAGCTTCCTAACCTTGATCTAGAAACCCAGGGGAGTGCTTTCCTCTGCAATCTATTTCCTCATCTGCACTGACACAACACAGTCAGTGTTCAAAGTGGTAAAATAAGGCAGGCCCTTCCTTCATCACTGCAGCTCACCAGGTAAGTTTTTGCTTGCTTAGAGGTGGCTGCCCACAGTCAGGCTGGTACAGTGAGAATCAGAGATTGATTAACAATGTCTGTCACAGGCCCAGCACAGGAGGTATGGCTAACCCCTGCTATCCCTGGGCAGAGGAACAGGGTTTGGTAAAGGGGAGGGGAAGCACAAAATTCATTGGACCTTAATGCAGAAGCACTGGAGAGCTAGAGAATTGTTTCAGAGACAAAAGGAAGGCTGAGTTGGTGTTTTAGCTAATGAATAACAGGAATCTAATATTACTTCCATTCCTTTCTTCACTGTCATTTATTATAAACTCACTTACTGGGATTTTATCATAGGTCCAAGAAGGTGATATTTATTAACACTTGACAGGTGATCTCATTTAACCCTCCCAACAATTTTATAGATAGTAATGGGCAATACTAGCAGCAAAGTAAAAGGAGGAAACCGAGGGTGGCCATGGTCACACAGCTGGTAGGAATCCCACTTTTTACCACTACACCTCAGCAAAGTGACTTGCCAAGTGCCTATTCTGTACCTGGTCCTAAGGGTGGGGGATGGCTCTAGTCTCTAGCCATAGCCACCATCCATCCAGCCCCACAGCTTCTCTGTGCTTCCCCCCTTCAGGTGCCCTGGCTGGGACAGCTGGCCTGCATGTAGGAACGGCCCCAGGGCCCCTGCTCCACAGCCCAGCTGGCATGGCCCCCCGAGGCATGCTGGGTCAGGGCCTCATGACTAGCCACGGGGCCAGGGTAAGTGCTACTACAGGGGAGTGAGAGTGTTCCCCAGAGCTGGGATGCCCACTGCCAGCCTGACCCTCTGTTTTTTCCTCTCCTGGCCCCAGCAGATGAGCCAGTTTCTGGTCAGGGGCCAGCCATCATCCAGCCTGCAGGATGCACCACAGCTCTACTCCCCTGCCATCCAAGCACAGTTCCCACTGCCCCCTGGGGTCCAACAGGTACTATGGGTCAGAGAGGCTCTGGACACAGGGGCAGATGCTTCTGTTTTAGGGCAGCCAGGGATCTCTTTGAGTCTATTCACTATCCAGGAACAGGGGGATAAAATTCCTCACAATGGGCATGTCATGAAATCATACATTCGATTCCCCTGAAATTCCTGCCATAGGCAGAGACAGAGTAGTTTCTGTGGCTCTAAACCCTGCCCCACAACTTAAGAGTGCAGGGCACCTCAGAGACTAGGGGGTGTGGGGGACCGAGACTGACTTACTGCTGTTTCTCACCTTCTCCCTCTACTGTCCGCGGAAGTGTCCTTCCATGGGTCTCTACAGCTCCTCGTTTGGGGCACGGCCTCCCTATCCCCAGGCCCACACGGCAGTGCATTCGTCTCAGGACCCGCATCCCAAACACTACCCCAAGCCCATCTATTCCTACAGGTGAGGTTCAAGGGGCTGAGGGAGGAGAAGGGCAAAGGGGAAAGCACTCCAACAAGCTGGGAGAGGTAACCCGGACTTCCAAGGGAGAGGTCTGGGGGTGTGGGGAGTCTCCGGGTAGGACCTGTTTTCATAGAGGACGGTCATGGGGACGTCTTCCCGCTGGAGTCAAGAACCTACTTCAGATACTGCCACTCCCGTATTCACACGCTGTGTGTCCTCAGGGACACGCCTTGGCCTCTTTGAGCCTTGGTTTTCTCAAATGCAAAAAGTCACCAAAATAACAGTATTGTGCATCTCGGGTGTTTGGGGGAAGAGAGGAGCAGCCTAGGTAAAGTCTAAAGGCCCTAGATATTAACTATGGATAAAAAAGGATAAAAGTGGGGGGAGCTGAGTCCAATGTCAAGGAGACGGGCAGGGGGTGGGAAAGGAGTTGAGAGCACACACTGTGATGTAAGAGCTTGTACACGTTGGGGCAAGCAGGGCAGCTTTCTGGTAGAGGGAACCTCAGGGTGCTCCCCTGCTCCATCGCTTGTCCCCAGCTGTCTGATAGCCATGGCCCTGAAGAACAGCAAGACAGGAAGCCTGCCTGTGAGCGAGATCTACAGCTTTATGAAGGAGCACTTCCCTTACTTCAAGGTGAGGATTCTCATCCAGGGTGGGGTGCTGGAGCTACCCTGGTCTTTCCTTGGCACTGATGGAACCCAGGGCTGGCCCTAAACCAAACAGGGACATCCCCCCTTAGCTTCCAGTTATGTCTGTAGAGCAACTACTAACAACACATGCATGTGCATACACAGCGAGGCATTTAAAAAAGGAAGGGGGCATTTGAACTGGGCTTTGACGGTTAAAGAGGAGTTCACCATGCACCTTAGGTGGGGGGTAGAGGGACCAGTCTAGTTATTCAGCGCAAACTTAGTAAACCATAAATACACACTTGGCAAGAGCCCTCACCAATCTGAGCCTCAATATCTTCATCTGTAAAGTGGGGAGAATACCCAGTTGGCAAGTTAATGATGATTCTGCTCATAAAAGTCTTGGCGGCTGCTGGCATATGGTTTGGCCTTAGATAGTGCTACCCTTGTTAGTATCAAAGCAAAAAGAAGAACAAGGGGTCAGAGGGTACCAGGCTGCAGAGTTCCTGGCCTGGAAAGTATCCCTAGCTGAAATCATGCAATATCATGAGTGTGTATGTAGGGTCTAGGGTGCATTACAGTTATCTGGTCACCTGGCAATAAAGTGAGCATTTAAGAGTGATTTGTATCTAATCCACCTGAGCAATTACTCACCGATGAAGGCCATTCTCGCTTGCTGTCTACTTGAGTAGGAGAGAGAGGTGGTGGGAGGATTCGGAATGAGTCGGCCGGTGGACGCTGGCGTAGATGACTTGTGCTCCCTGTGGGCCTCCCTTCTGCCTCTCCAACTTGAGGCTGAGTAGAGGACGCTGCTCCATAACCCCCGCCACGACGGTGTCCCGTCCCGACGGGCGGAGCGGGAGGGCACCCCGGCCAGGAAGGGGTTCCGGGCGGTCTCTGAAGGGGCCAGTGAGCGCCGCGTCTCCCCACAGACGGCTCCGGACGGTTGGAAGAACTCCGTGAGGCACAACCTGTCCCTGAACAAGTGCTTTGAAAAGGTGGAGAACAAGATGAGCGGCTCCTCCCGAAAGGGCTGCCTCTGGGCCTTAAACCTGGCCCGCATTGATAAAATGGAGGAAGAGATGCACAAGTGGAAGAGGAAGGACCTGGCCGCCATTCACAGGAGCATGGCCAATCCGGGTGAGGCCCGGATGATCCCACTGCGCATGCGCACGCGTGTATTTCCCTGTGCTCCTGTGCGCATGTGCGCACCACCTCTCTGCCAGGCCTGCGCGACCCTCAGACGTGCCAACAGGGAAGCAGGTGTCTGGTGTCCCTTCCGCGTGTCTGGCAAATTGAGGGGCCCGGATCACAAAATGCTGTTGGCTCACCGTCACTTCCAGTTGTTTCACAGAAACGCCAGACCACACAGTCATAGGATAGAAGAAGCGTTTAAAATTAACACCCAGGGTGGGCTTGGATGTAGGAGATAGGTGTCTTCCTACATAATGAGTGGGAACGTAAGCTGTGAAACTTTTTGAGGGCACAGTAATGCATCAAAAACCCTCAAAATGGACAGGCTCGGTAGTGCAGGTCCATATTACTCACTAATGAAGGCCATTCTCCAAGCTCTCCAGATCTTTTTGGGAGGACTGCAGGTTTAAGCCTAGCCTGGGTAACTTACCCAGACCCTGTCTCAAAATAAGAAATAAACAAGGGGCTGGGGTTATAACTCATTGGCAGAGCAACACTGGGTCCAACCCCCAGAACAAACAACCCCCCTGCAAACTGTCCCCATGTATTAGTCTACTTATTTCACTCTGACAGTTTATGATGAGGAAATCAAAGATTTGAGAAGAAAAAGTGTGAACTGAGTTATCCATCCACACTTGCTTTCAGTTGTCCAATAAACAACTGAAAGCTATCTAAACATTCTACAGTTAAGTATGGTGCCATATCATGCAAATATTCAAGACAAAAATATTTTAAAATATTTTTGGAATATAAAGTAATGTTCTCAATACAATAACTAAAATTGATAGATTAATCATTATACAGTACACAGCAGAACCACATTTTAAAATGTATATGTAAGCCAGATGTAGTGGCACACATCTGTAATCCTAGAACTTGGGAGGCTGAGGCAGGAGGATTGCCAAGAGTTTGAAGCCAGCCTGGGCTACCTAGTGAGTTCAAGGCTGACTTGAATTACACAGTGAAACCCTGTCTCAAAAAACAACAAACAAACAAAAAACGTATAGCTGGGCATGCTGTTGCATCCCTGTTACTCCATCACTCAGGAGGCTGAGGCAAGAAGATTGTTAGTGTGAGGCCAACCTGTGCTACATAGTGATTTAAAGCCTGCCTAGGGTACACAGTTAGTCCCTGTCTCAGATATATATGTGTATATATCTTATCCCAGACCCATTTTTTGCCAAACACGCACACACACACACACACATTTAGAGAGAGCTATGAATGTTCATCTGAGAAGAAATACAAGAAAAGCTTTTTTTGTGAATGAGGATACCACTGATAATTTTTATGTTATTTTTTATTTATGTACTTGCAGTTTTTGGAAACAGGATCTCACCACATAATCCAGGTTGGCTTTGAACTTGCTAAATTGTTCTAGATGGCCTTGAAATCACAGTCCTCCTGCCTCAGCCTTCCAAGTGTTGGGATTTCAGGCTTACACCACCTTGTCCAGATTTCTGATGATTCTTACATTCTTCACACACTTCTGTATTTGCTAAAATTTCTACACTGTTCATGAGTTACTTTTGAAGGTTACATCGGATCTTTTTCTTTTTTTTTTAATTAAGTATGTGAAAAGGGTCCATAGAAGGGGCACTGTGCATGGCTGGGTTGCTTCTGCCCAGTCCCAGGAACCTGTGGTCCAGCTCTGGGGGGTGCCACCTTCCTTGAGGTTTAGCATGAAGGGGCTGGCAAGTCAAGAGGGTGGGGAGACAGGCTGCAGCAGGAACCAATAGTCCTGTCTGGGGGCAGCACGTGCTGTCCACCTTATACAGCTCTGGGGCCTGGCTTGAGGTCGAGGGCCCATCTTGACCTGTGTTTAGCATGAGATCTTGGGTAGGTCATTCTGCCTTCTGGATTTCAGGTGTCCTCATTTCTAAAGTATGTGCTCCCAAATAGATCTTGGGACCCTGATGCTTCACCCTTGGTGTGGTGTTGCATTCAGTGCAACATAGCCAACATCTTTGTGCCAACAATCATTTCTCTTTTTATTTGTTTATATCCAACGGTATTAAAGAGCATACAGGTTTTATTTGTCTAGTTTTGTTTTCAGTGCTAGGGATCAAAGCCAGGGTGTTGTACATGTTAGGCAAGCGTTCACATCCCCTTGCTCTCCTTTTTTTTTTTTTTGAGACAAGGTCTTGCTAAGCTGCCCAGATTGGCCTTGAACTTGTCATCTTCTGGTCTCAGCCTCCTGCATAGCTGGAATCACAGGCACCTGCCACTGCCAGGGGAAGAATATAGTTTTTAACTAATGGCAACATTTCTTAAGGTCTTTTTCATAGAAGGGAGTGACACCCTTGCATGTTAAAAGTATTGTCCCAGTCTTGTGGAATCCAGAATCCCTGGGTAAACTGTCCCTTGTAGGGTTTGTCAGAGGTCAAGGGAGTGCTAGGGTGAGAGACCTGTGCTATAAGACAACAACCAAAGGAGGGACTAGTGTTATTTGGTGGCACCTGTCATTAATCAAAGGCCCCACACCATTCGTGATGTCACCGTAGCGTATGACACCGATTCATAGATGAAGAGAGAGAGGTTCAGAGAGTCCCAGAGGCATGCTGAGGACACACAGGTGGTAGTGTCAGGACTTGAATCCAGGCCCAGGCTGGGATCTGGTCACTGCAAGGTATTCTTAGTGACCTCTCCCACTTGCTTGCAGAGGAGCTGGACAAGCTGATCTCGGACCGGCCAGAAAGCTGCCGGCGCCCTGGCAAACCAGGGGAGCCCGAGGCCCCTATGCTGACTCATGGCACCTCAGTGGCCATGGCCCACAGCTGCCTGCCTGTCTCCCAGCTCCCACCACAGGCCCTGATGACCCTGTCCCTGCAGTCCGTCCCCCTGCACCACCAGGCCCAGCCCCAGGCACATCTGACCCCAGACTCCCCGGCGCCAGCCCAGACTCCACCTCTGCATGCCCTGCCAGACATGAGCTGCAGCCCGGTCTCCCAGCCCGTGCTGAGCAGGGCGCCCATGGACTTCATCAACATCAGCACTGACATGAGCACTGAGGTGGATGCCCTGGACCCCAGCATCATGGACTTTGCTCTACAGGGTAAGGCTGGAGGAGTGGGGCTCTGGGAGCTGGGCGGGGAGGGGGCAAGGAGATAGGAGAGCACAGGACTCTCTCATGCACAGCCCATGGCCACGGCAGCACCTAATGCTAGCACACTGAGCAGCTCTTCAGTGCTTACTGTGTACTGGGCCCCGGCCAAGCATTTCCTCAGCATCATCTCACCCCAGCCCGCCGTGTCCCCAGAGGCCACCATTTGAGGTCCTCATCCTGCCATCGAAGACACTGACGTAACCATGAGCGTCACTGCGCCAAGGTGACCTGGCCAGCCAGTGACGGAGCTGGGATCTAAACCCAGTTCTGTCCGACCCCAGAGTTTGCATCAGTAACTGGGTCAGCACGCACGTGCCCACCTCAGGTCAGGTCGCAGTGTGACTCGGCTTGCCACATGGTCAGTCGCAGTCGTTGAGATGCGACACCCGGCAAGGCTGAGGGGAAAGGACCGCAAGGTCAAGTCCAGCCTAGGCACCTTAGCGAGACCTTGTCTCAAAATAAAAAATAAAACAGGGTGGGGATGTAGCTCAGGTTGAAGGCCTAGAGTTCAATCCCCAGAACCGCCAAATAGACAAATAATGAACGGAATGCGAAGGAACAAATGAATAAACAAGTGAATGAAAGAACAGACAAAGATCTCAGGTTGCTCCTGCAGGACGCCACCCAAGGGCCCAAACTTCATCCAGCAGGTCCACCTCTGATGAGGGTGACGGGCAAGCGGGCAGGTTAGTTAGTTAGCAAGTCAATTACAGCTGTGATCCCTTCTGCCCCACCCCCACCCCCTCAGAGGGCTACGTAGTTAAATGTGCTGAAGGGGAAACGTGGTTTGATTCTCCTGGCTTGGACTGTGAGATACCAGGCAATGAGCACTCAGTGCTTTAAACACGCCCTCTTGTTAAACCCCACGACAACCCTCACAGGTAGATCTTCTGATCATCTGCATTTTATTCTGAGCCTCAGCGACAGTAGTGACTTTCCCAAGGGCTCACAGTAGGAAGAGGTGGGCTAGGGCTGGAGCTCTGCTCCCTCCGCAGTCTTTTCCTGCAACATTATGACCTTAAACACCACACGTGGTCTCTGCTTCTTCCCTAAGACAGGGATTCAAACTCGGTCTGTTTTACCTAAAGCCCGCTCATCTGAATGCTTTTGTTTTTGCAAGGGAACCTCTGGGAAGAGATGAAGGACGAGGGCTTCAGCCTGGACACGCTGGGGGCCTTTGGAGACTCCCCCCTCGGCTGCGATCTGGGGGCCTCGGGCCTGACCCCTGTCTCTGGCAGCAGCGAGCAGCCCTTCCCGGATGTGCAGGTGACTGGTCTGTACGCTGCATACTCTGCCCCAGACAGAGCGGCCTCATCGGGGGCCACCTCCTCCTCCCAGTACCTGGGCACCCCAGGAAACAAGCCCATAGCCCTGCTTTGAGCTGATGACCTCACCTGCCCCCAGAGCTCTCCTGCAGCAGGCTTGGGCAGGAAGGACTGGCCTGGGTGTTTCTGGAAGAAAGGCCCCTTTTCCTTCCACAGGCCTCTCCTGAACCTCTGGTGAGGCTGCAGGCTGGTCAGGGAGTCAGGTCCTCTCAGCCTGGCTATGCTCTCTGGGTTCCTACTGGGAGCATCTGCACCTTCCCAAGTTTGAAGGACCAAGGAGAGTCCAGCTCAGCATTTCCCTTGCCTCCAGGACCTGGGATGCAAGGCTGGGACATGCTGAGGACAGGCCTGCTCCAGCCTGGCTCCTGGCTGCGCCCCTGTGTGACCTGCAGCATTGGGGCTGGCATGGAAACACTCACTGGGAAGGCCCTTTCCTTACTCTGGGGAGGGGGAAGGCTGAGCTGCATGGAATCTTTCCCTCAGGGTCAGAGGATGGGAGCGGGCATGGAGAGCCAGGGGATGTCTCCTGGACCAACAGGCTGAACTCCGCAATGATTCCTGTTCCAGCCCACACACCAGCCCCTATAGTATGACAGGATTTCATAGCACAGCCTCCTGGACCATGCCAGGCACTCAGAACATGTATAATTTATTTATATTTATTGTGACCCATTTTGTCGCCCTGTGAACCCAGCCGAGTATGAGACGCCTCCACCCCTCCACATGTCCCAGCCATGCTAAGTCCTAACTGATCAGCGAGTCACATCTCTCACTGGCTCACCACTGCTTGGCAGCCTTGGGCTTCTTTTTAGAACAACCAAGCACTTTTGAAACATTCTATTTTTAATACTGGAGACCAGATATTTTTCTGTCTAGTCGTGACTCAGATTACTTCCTGTGGGCACCTAAGAAGGAAGTCGCCACGATCTGGGCTTGGGAATGTCCTAGAGGTCAGTGGGGCTGAGAAACAGGGCAGGGCACTTCAGGTCCCGGGCCGTAAGACACCCCTAACCACTGGGAGGAAAGTCGGTGGACTAGGAGCTGTGAGAAGCTGTCCCATGCAGTGACAGCGGTGCAGAATAATTCTCAGCACTTGTTTGCCTATTCATTTGGCTTGTGTCCATTTTTGTTTGCCAATGAGTGCTTTCCGAGTGGCAGGTTTTAGGGGGCAGTTGGTTAGCAGAAACAGTGGTGGTTAGCAGAAACAGCTCTCCCATTGGAGGCGGATGCTGCTGGTCCCACAGCCAGGGTGCCAGCCTCCTCTCTCTGCCACCTGATGTTTTGCCCCTGTGTCTGGGCTTCCCAAGCCAGGACGCTCTGCCGAATCACCAGGCCAGCCAGGGGACCTATCAGCGAGGCTGGCATTAGCCCCTGGCTCGAAGGCCCGTCGTTAAGCCCTTTCAAGTTCTGGAACCGTCCGCTGAGAGCCACGATTGTTAGACATAGCCCGGCATGTCCGTCTGACCAGTACTGCTCAACTACTCTGTGTACCTTGACCCCCGTAAGTTGTTTAAAGCCTTGTTAACCAGAGTATTCAGGCAGCACCGAGACTCTGTAGGTGTAGAACTGGATGAATAAGTGTCTTCTGTCAATAAAGGCTGAACGGCAGCTCTGTGGCTTGTGGTGACGGGAAAGGCGGGTGTGGGAAAAGGGCACCACTCACACCACCAGTGCCCTGTTTTCTGCTACCGGGTTCCCCTTGGGGTGGGGGCTGGGAGTGGGGGCAGTGTTATCAGCAATAAAAGCAGCATGGTCCGCGTTTACTGTCCTCACTGCCAGCACTCGACAGACAGCTGAAGCATTGGCTGTGGATGCTGTTTACTGATTCAAAAGCAGAGGCTCAGGGAGGTCAGGTCGGGCCGAGTATGTGTGTGTCAGACCCTAGGTTGGGACAAAGCTCAGGAGTGCTGCTCTGACCTCCTCTTGGGTGTGTCCCTGGGGTCAGAGGAGACACCAAGCACCTGTCATGTTGAGGCCCTTTGCTCATCACTGCTGTGGCTTCATTCAGTCCCACGGCAGCCCCAAGTGGCATGACAGATTATACCCATTTTCCACATGAAGACACTGAGGCTCAGAGGAGTAAGTCAGGTGACTCACTACTGTTAAAACAGCAACGGGACACAGTGATTTGGAGCCTAACTTTTCAACCTGTGCAAGAAGTGGCTTAAAACCATGCATCCCTGGCCCCCACTGATCCGTAGCAAAAAAACATGTCAGATGCAGTTGCGGGACCTGGAGGCTCCAGTTTCATCCTCCCAGATAACCACCGCAGGAGAAGGAGGGCACCTAGAGCTCCTGCAAAGCCCCTGGGGTGATATTCATTAGCTGTGACCAAAATCCACCCACCCCTCCTTCCAACCATTGCTGGGGCTGGCTTGGGCTAGGTTGTTCTTACTGGTTTACACCTGAGTCACAGGAGCTGAGCCAAGAAGTAGGGCCACGCTGGTGCATGGAGTCAGGGCAGAAGGTCAAAGTCACAGGATGGTGAGCTCTAGCCATAGTCCTGGTTGCAGCCAGAGTCTCTCCTTCCCTACCCCAGCACAGGGCCATATTGCTGGCTCCGAAGATGGAATGGGGCTTCAGGAAATTGCAAAGAACAAGAAAATAGATCCCCTTAGAACCTCTAGGTGTCACACTGCCCCTCTGCTACCTTGATTTCAGCCCAGTTGAACTGCATTTTGGACTTTTGACCTCCAGGACTGTATGATAAACTTTCGATTGTTTAAGCCGCTCGGTTTGTGGTGACTGTTGCAGCAGCCATAAGAAACCAATACATATGCCCCCCTTTCCAGAGGAGGGGACAGGGTCGAAGGGGCAAATAAGCTGACAGGTTGTTACCGAGGGGCAGAGATGGGATTCAAACACACTGCATTTCCACATTGTCTTTCCTCACGTCGTAGGCTCAGCTCACAATGTCTGCTTGCTGCTTGTGTCAGTCAGTGCTTACCAGAGGCAGATTTAATGCAAGATACACAATATATAAGAATTTACAAGACTGGCTTACAATGGCTGCCCAGAGTCAGGTGCGGAAGAGTGCAAAAGAGCGTCTGTGCGCTGACAAACCATAGGGTTCAGTCGAAGGCCTGGAGCTCAGTGCTGTGTCCTGTGTGTCTTCATCAGGAGGCCAGAGGGTCTGTGATGGAAGCCAGGAGACAAGGTCCAAGTGAAGGAGAAGACCCGAGCCCTTCCAAAGAAGCGGAAGCGAGCCTTCCTTCTCCTTCCCCTTTGTGCCATTTAGGCAACGATCCTCCCTAGGGTGTGTCTATCTTCAGGAGGTCCCTGCAGCCACACTGAGCACTGTGCTGATCCAATTCAGGTGGGCATTTCCTACTCAAGCTGACACAATTAGTTAACTAGCACTCTGCTTTACAGAGGCTCAAACACTTCCTAAGATCCAAGCTTGGTCTGCAGCTCTCCCTGTCCCTGCCCTGGCACTGTGTTTCCTGGTGTAGTGTGGAATCCTGGTGGAGGCTCAGGGAAAGGATAAGGGCTGGTTAACGGTTGGGATGGGGTGGTGGGGCCAGGTTTCAACTCTTGGGCAAAGCTAGATGTGTGGACTCAGATGCCATAGGAGCTACAGAAATGTCAGTAGCTTCGAAGGCAGCCAGAGACCCGGGGCTGGGGGTGCAGGCTGGGCTTTGTGCCCGTCCACCAGGCGCCTTGGCCACTGAGTTGTGCCCAGCACATGAGAATCTGTCAGCCCACCAGGGCCTCCAGCATCTTCCCAGCCATCATGGGGTGGGAACCAACATGACCAGGTGACAGAGGACAACTCAGTCTACCTCTGGGGCTATCTCTTCCTCCTTGCAAGACACTCAGCCCAAGTGGGAGCATTTCCGATAGACTCTAGCCTTGGGACCGCCTGAAAGTGACTAGTTTCTCCAGCCATGGAAACTCGGTCAGACTTGCTGATTATCAGCATCTCCTGGGCATTTCTGTGTCTGTCTGTCTGTCTGCTTCAGGCAATTCTGAACGAGAAGAGCTGAGGTGGGGTCAGAGCCACTGTTTGTGTTTTGCTCTTTGAGGCTCATGCTAAGTTGCCCAGACTGGCCTCAAGCTTGGGATTCTCCTGCTCAGACATCACACCCAGCTAGTCTTAGTTTGTAACAAGCACCCCAGGCTCGTGAAGACATTCCAAGGCAGAGAGCACAGAGGGGTCTCTGGGTGGGCCTGTTAACTGAGATAAGCGGGCTCTGGAGCCCAGGAGGTTCCTCCAATGAGGAATGAGGAGGGACCTGGCACTTGCGAGGCTTGTAGGGGAGCAGTGAGGTGATGGCAAGAGAGGAGGTGACCCCAGGAAGGCTGAGACTGTAGGAATGGACAAGTGGGCAAGGTGAACACCCCAGGCGTTCCTCCTCATCGAGGGTGAGCCTGGCTACCCACTGTTTCTTTCTCCAGTGGCTTTGGGGGTAAGCCTGCCGCTGCCAGGCTGGGCTGTGGGGAAGGCTACACTACAGACTGGCGTGGAGGCAGGGAGGGGTGAGGGGAGCATGGCCGCCAGCGCAGGGGCAGCTGGGTAGGCCGGGGCAGCAGAGGCAGAGGAATAGGAATCTGGAAGTTCCACTGCATCCCCAGCTACTCCTGCTGCTGTATGCAGATGGGAGAGCTCAAAGGGGAGATGCCAGCACACCTTAAATCAATAGGCGGAGCCACTCACTTCCTTCCAAAATAGGGTTTAATCTGCATGTTTACCTGGCAGGCTCTCTGCCCACCATTCTAGGGCAGCAGCTCTCTGTTGCCTTGTTCCCAAAGGAACCCTTTGGTCACTGTTCCCTCCCCACCCCACTCCCCAGGTGGGCCACAGAAGATTCAGTTTTCTCTCCGCTCGCGCTCCCGGTCACCTGTGAGGGCCGTCGCTGGCTGATGGCCAAAGTGTTTTTTTTGTTGAATTTGGACATCCTCACGCGTGCTGGCTCAAGGCGGCTTCCCTGGGCAGCTTTGTTGGTGTTCCCCTGGGCCTGGCGTAAGGTTCCGTGTCCTCAGACAGACCTGCCTTTACAGAGCCAGTGCCCTCCGGCATCCCGTGCGGTTGTCCCGCAGGTGAGCGGGCTGCACTGCCACCTGGTGGTAGAAAGGGAGCAGCAGCTCTCCGAGAGCCGTCCGCAGGCCCTCCAGTTCCTTGGGGTCATTTCAGAGAGCTAGGATGTCAGGAAGACAGGCCGGTAAGGACATCCAGGGAGGTGAGGGGACAAGCCTTGCCCCGTGAGGTCAGTGCTTGAGAGTGCCCCTAAAACAGGCTGCATATGCTGTCTCAGAAATGTGCTCACAGTCGACTCAGCCGTCTACCGGCAGCTTTCAGTCTGCCCGCTCCTATAAGGCTTTGTAAAAGACCGTCGTCAGTCATTATTTTTAGGAATAGTGTAACAATTCTCCCAGTCTGACAACTTTGATGAAATAGATTCCCTGAAACACACATGGCCAAAGCTCCTCCACAAGGAAACAGAGTAGGACAACAGTTTTATATAATAAAGAAGGTGAATTGGTGGTTAGAAGCCCCCTATGAGAGATTTGAAAGAATAGCTGGGCATGGTAGCACATGCTGGGAATCCCAGCACTGGGGTAAGAGGACTGCAGGTTCAAGTCCCGCCTGGGTAACTTAGTAGGCCTTTGTCTCAAAGTAAAAAGGATAGAATTCAGTGGTACAGTGACCCTGGATTCCATCCCTAACACTGCCAAAAAAAAAAAAAAAAAAAAAAAAAAAAAACAAAAAC